CATATGCATGCATATACACACACACACACACACACACACACATATATATATATTCCATGGCACTGCTACGGATTAACTTCCTGGTGCAGCAGTGCTGGGAGCTTTGTGAAAGTCTGGTTTGTATCCCGTACAGGAGCTCATAGTAAAACCAAATCAGACTCTTATCGAGCACAGAATAAAAACCCAGAGCTCATTCGGGGTCCATCTGCCTGCCACAGCTTCTAGCTAACAACATGCTATGTGGAATAACATATCCACTTGGCACACGTGGGAAGCAATTTCCTTTCTCTCCCTTCCTTCCTGTCTCAGTCGTACTGAAACCACACGTCTCTTCTGTTTGCAGCAGACCTCCAGCAGCCGGGGCCTCCTCAAGCTGCCTTGGATGGAAGTGAAGTGGATCCATGTGATGCTGATCTTCTTTTTCCTGCTCTCTGTTGCCATGACCGGCTGCTTCTTGTGGCAATACAGTCTCCCCAAAGTGGAGCCGGGTGAGTATGGATCAGTTGGGCTCTGCGCCGTTTGGAGGTGACGCCTAGGATTTTGGTGATGTTCACATGAAGGGTTTTCTGCCTGTGTCAACTCCCCAGGATTAAGCTCTACAGTATTTTAGAGGGGCTCTGCAGGGACCTAGCTAACAAATGGAAAGCAGTCAGCACAGCCCTTTCCTCCCCATATATCCCTGTTTCTCATCATTCGTATCTCATTGCACAATCTTCTTTCTCAGCTAGTCAGGAGAAGGAAACAGAAGTATCTAACAAAGTGCGGAAAGCACTATCCGGTCAGCCAGCCGCCTCTCTTGAATTATTCCCAGGTCCATCTGGAATGGAGGGGAGGTCAGAAGCTGTGCAAATGTGTCCCCGCTATCCAGAACCAGTCCCGCTGGATCACCCGATCCCCATCCTGAAGGATGCACTGGAGAAGGTTTGTGGGGGTAGGATGGAGGGGCTGCATATTTTTAATTCCAGCCTTATCCCTAGGTGCAGACACTTCCTTATTGCGTGGTCTTCTGTACTGTGTCTGTATGAAAAACGAGAGAACTGAGCAGCCGCAGTCCTGTTGCTTTGCCTTCAGTACTATGAAAGGCTGTAGAACAGGCCGTTAAGGAAAGACTAATTAAGATGTGGAGGTAGATAGAACACGGTGGAAAATGAAATGTGGCTCTAATATAAAAGGCTGGATAACTTAATATCTTTCTACAATAAAATTATTATCTTCGAAAATTTCAGTAAATCATTTGATACTGCACCTTGCAGGAAATTACTACCTACGGTGGAGAAGATGGGGGTTAATACTAAAATTGGAAGTCAAATAATAATAAGATGGCTCAAGGGGAAACTCCAGCGGGCTACATTGAAGGGGAGCCATGAGACCAGAGAGCGGTTTCTGGTGGTGTTTCTCAAGGATCACTAATTTCATTAATCAGGTATCCAGATTGTAGCCGTATTGATCTAACGGAAAAAGCAATCAGGGCTCATGGTTGAGGTAATATCGTTTATTAGACCAACAGGATTTTTGCAAAAAATTAAAGAAATGTTTTTGCAAAAATGTTGTTGATCTAATAAAAGATATCACCTCTGCCGTGAGCCTCGATGGCTAATTTCATTAATGGCCTTTATGCAAGAACCAGGTTCGTGATTATGAAAACTGCAGATGACACAAAGTTGGGGGTCACTGTGAATGCTGCGGAGGATACGATGGACACACAAGAGGGGTAACCTTGGGCTGCAGTAATAACATGGTACAACACTTCGAAGCCATGCACTAAGACCGATACCAAGACCTTTGGATGCAAGCTGGTTGCTCGTGCGCTGGGGGATGTAGGACAGGAGGAATCTCAATGTATTAGCCCATCGTAGAATGACAATGAGCCAACACAACGACGTGATGTGGCTGCGCAAACACCGAGGCAGTTGTAGGACGTGTCAGCCAAGACACAGGGAGCGATTGAAAGCAGCCCCGACTTGGGTGCCCATTAGCAAGACCTCATCTACAATATGGGGCATAATCCTCCCATCCCTGCTAGGCACGCAGAGTGAAGAGGCCATGGCCCTGCAGGAGCCCAGGACATGGGTGATGACCTCCATCTCCCTAGGTCTCCTCCTCTGGCAAGTCATAGTTTTGGAGACCTTTACGTTTTTTGTACCGAAGATCCATTACAAGGTGTCGGGGGATGCTGTGCAGCTGTGGCATGTGAGAGGGGCCAGAACGGATATTCTTGTAAATACTTTTACATTTAACATGTATTACATGATTGCCTCTGACTGCAGGGCTCTAACGTTGATGCCCTGTGTGCTCTCTCCCAATCCTATGCCCTTAAAACCACCTTGACCACAACCCCTTCCATAGCCTTGGTTATCCTCTGGGTAAAGATAACAACATCCAGCTCAATTATTGCCACAATTCACATGTGCATGCCCAAGACTCTCCCAGTAATGCAAGAGCTTCAGAAGAAAGCACTCAGGGATGAACCTAGCAGGACCCTGGAGAACGAAGGGCCTCCAGACACTTCAGGAGCTCATCGTGCCCTTCTGCATTAATTTCCATTCCTAATGACATATCTAGCCCTTAAAGTTCCTCCTGGCGTCCTGCCTGAACTTCACAAGCTCCCACAACGTTTCTAAAAAGAAGATTTGCCTTTCTGGCAGCAGGGTTATTATTTTCACGGCCAGGTTTATTGGGTCTAAAGTTTCAGCGAAGGCTGAAATTCTGGTAGGTTCCTTCCATAACGTGCGTGTAAGATGGCTTGAGCTAAGTTTATGGACAGTTCGCACTTGGCCGAACTCTGCTGGTATTGAGGGAGTCGTAGCATGGGCAAGGGCGTTTGTGTTTTCAGAGCACGTCATTATTTCAGAGATGACAGAGGGATGTGGGAGGGGTTGGGATGGGCACTTTCATAGTTGGTCCCCGATGGACTTCTCCTTTAATGAATCTGCAGCCGGGGAGTTAGTGGGGTAGGATGTGCCTTGAGGTCCGTTCACCTTGGCAAGCACCCAGCACCTTGTTCCTGCCGTGCTTTCCCACCTCCTTTCCCGCACATAAGTGATGTGAAAGAGATGAAGGGTTCTCTATAGGAGATACAAGAGTAGCAGTAGCCGTGTCTGATGTTTGTTGGATGAAGTTTAAGTGATGGGCACCAGCTGAGGTGGACCATTGGTCAAAAATGTTTGGTTGAAAGATGTTGATGAATCTGAGGGCAGGATGCTACTTGCTCGGCAGTAAATGTGGGGCGTTTCTCCCGTTTTGCACCAATACACTTCAGAATCAGAGACTCACAGACAACGAGGACTGGAAAGGACCTCGGGAGGTCACATCTAGTCCAACCCCTGCTCCAAGCAGGACCAGCCCCAACTACGTCATCCCAGACAAGGCTTTGCTGTGGTATGGAGTCATCTCTCTGTTCTCCTGTCAGCCTGGTAGCAAACTCATGACCATTTTCTCGTTATCACCCAGGTGGACACGCTGCTGCGCAACAAAATCCATAGCCCAGGCCTCTCCACCATGTCTGCCATCGTTATCTACAATGATACTGTGCTCTGGACCGGTAACTTTGGGAAGAAAAATGGCTCTAACCCCTTCTCGGCAATGCCTAACGAGTATACCATTTACAGGTGAGACAACAGGTTCCTTTGCAAGAGGGGTTTTCTTGTACCCCAGAGCTAGCCAAGGGGTTAGAGGAACATTTCTGTACCAGTGCCCCTCAACGGAAAAGGAAGGGATGTGCACACTTCGCCACTCGATTACCCGTGCAAATCTAGGTCAGTCACAATGAGAAAGCTCCCATAAATCCTTCCCTCTGCCTGCCCTACCTCCAGCTACAATAAGAAAAGAGTCTGCTGTTGCAACTGGTGTCGCCGGGAGCCTTTTTCGATTTAAAAAAAGCAGTGTGTGTTTATGCAAATTTAGACCTGGACAGTAGCATTCGTTATCTCCCCAAATTATTGCACGATGATTGCAAATGGAAACATTTACCTTTTGGGAGGAAATTTTGAAGGGCTTTTATCTGAATGAGGTCGTTTTTCTAACTTGTTTTTTAATTCAAGCAACGTCAACTGTTCTTCAAGTCTGTAAGAGTGAAAAGAAATGTGATTTCCCCCTTGTAGAAAAATCTAGTCGGCATTTTCAGTTCGAAGTAGAGCAAAACTCTATGGAGTCAGAAACGTGGCATGGACATAGTCTCCAGTGAAGATCAGTGTTTTGGGGCTTGGGAAATAAATGGATTTAATTTAACAACAGAACGAATATTTGGAAATGTGTTTTATCAGCAGTGCTGCATCAGTGTAGTTGTGTAGGAAGTATTTGGCATGACGTGGTAGCTTGAAAAACCTTGGACCAGGGACTCGTTAGTGCTAGAAGAGCTGCTGGAGGTGACCCGCGTCGCTGTTTGTGTCATAACAGGATTGCCAGCATCTCCAAAGTCTTCCCCACGATCATGCTGTACCGACTGTGGGAAGAAGGAAAGGTAACGTCTTTGGATGACCCTCTGGAGCGTTACGCTCAGGGCTTCGTTATCAAAAATCCCCTGGGGCGGCTAAGGGAAGCTGAGCAAAGATACACGGCCGACGGGCTGGTCTTTCTGGAGAAGGGGTCGCTGCCTCTCAAGCCGTCACCCGTCACCCTGCGCAGAATGGCCAGCCAGCTCTCAGGTGACAAAACCCCTCCGCTTCCACCCTGCAGACCTCATCAGGGCCTCCAAATGGGTGCAAGGCCCCAGCTAAAAGAGCCAAACTCCCTTTCCCCAGTGAGGACAGATCACACTAGAGGAACGCAAAACCCCCTGCTCGGCATTTGCAAGTTAACACAGTCCCGTCCTGATGCTCGTCCTGCAGATTTCTGCAGTTGCACTAGCATCTTTGTGATCTTCTCCCAGCGAGTCCAAGAACAGGTGACCAAAAGGAGGCCTCTCTCCATGCTAGATGCTACCTATTGACTGAGCAAGCTGTGGCCATGGCAGGAGCTGCTGCATGTCTCTTCTTGGCTGCTTCTTGTCAGAGTATTTTTTTCTTGTAAAGCGAGAGTCTGCATTGCTACTGGTAGTGTAGATGTACTAGTAGGTTGGCTACTGATACGAGGGGCAAGAGCCAGGTCCCACACCCCAACGTTTTATTGTTTAAACCCCCAAAGCACAAGAATACACACCAATTCCTGTGTCCCTCAAGTGACCTGTGACACGGTCCTGGTATTGATTCTCCTATAGTACCTAGGGGAGTTGGGAGCGTGGAGGAGGATGGCATACCGATCAGTAGCAGGGCTTTTTGGATCCACACATTAGATTATAATGGGGCACAAAGTCAATTGATTCCCTCAGCACTGCCTGAATAGAAATGCCACTACTGCTGCTCTGGGCAGCGGTTGAGCTTCACCCCTGGACCCCAGAACAGCCACTGCCCAAGAGGCACAGGAGCTTCTCGAGGCCCACTGAGGCCAGTCAACGACCCTGCTGGGGTCATACAGGCCTTGTTACACAGGCTGATTCGCCTTGCCCTATTATTGCGTGGAGCACTGTTCTGGACCCAGTGTGTTTCAGCAGCACATTTGCCGTGCCGTTTATACACTGTGCAGTAATCATGGCTGTCTCCATGGGCACTCGAGTCTTCACTTTCAGCTCATTATTGCACTGGCTCAGTGAACGTGTCCAAATGTTTTCCCTCGTATAAGTCAGTAGGTATCTCTCGCTGTTGATACCCGATTGTTCCCATTGCACAGGACTTCCTAGGAGGCTCCGGTCCACTAGCCTGCTGTTTAACGGAAGCACACAAGAAGCACTTGCTCTCCTGAAGGATGATGTTTTGGTGGCTGATCCAGGAACCAGGTCAGATAAATGCAACATTTACATTTCTCTTGAGGGGCAGGCCTCTCCTTCGGGTGACTGCAGCGCTGTTCAGTGGCTAAGGAATCAGTGCCAGCGTTACAAATAGCTGCATTGAGGCAAAAAGACATGACAGAAACTACCTCTGCAGTGGGGAAGGGACAAGTTGAGATCACAGTGATCCAATACAGAAAGACAGCATGTTTGTCTGCTAAATATGTGGCATGATAATAGAGTCATTGGACCAGATTTTCAATGGAGCCTGAAGACACTGCCTTCCCAAACCGCCTAAGCAGGCTCAGCCTATTGATTTCCACTCCCGCAGGCAGGGGTAAGCGACTGTTTAACGTGATGAAGGGTAAAGGGAAGAAACCATCCCTTCCAAACCCTGTGTTTTCACAAGGATGTATATCCCGGCTCAGTCCTTCCAGCCCGGGAATGAACTAGTTAAATTCTTCCTACATAGCTACTTTTGAAAATCCTACTGGGCAGCTTTCAGCTTAATTAGGGAACTGCATACCTTTGAAAATCTGGCCAATTCTTATTGTCAATAGAAGCTATAAATATTTATCATGATTAAAAATGATGTTATAAGCATGCTGTCTAGGCTTCAAAGTCAAGCACTCAGAAAATGTCAGAATTTAAGCTGCCTGTTGACAATTTAGAAGGCGCAAGCCGAGCAAGATCCAGTGTTTGGAAGCTGAAGCTAGACATATTCCAACTAAGTGGGACTAAATTACACACTTTTCAGATGTTTTAATTTAGTAGGAGAGCAGTTTGCTTAGGCATGTGGCAGACTCTCTGTCATGAACAGGCTTTAAATAAACTTTGTCCACTTGGTTCCCAAAAGTCTGCTCCGTTTCAGCTAGAAGTTATGGGCTCGGTGCAGGAAAACCGGGTAAAATGGTGGTCTGTATTATTCAGGAAGGTTTACTAGGTGATTATTAATGTATTCTAGGAGCAGAGGGACCCATAATCTATGCAGGTGTGAGTCTGGCACTCATCGCTGAAGCACTTGTGGGGCCAGAATCTATTTCTCCCGATCTAAGCCTCTGAAAGTCTGCTAACGCATCTGCTTTTGAACACATCATTGTCTTATCTAAAGACTGAGTGACCAAAAGCAGTGAGGAGGAAGAGGAAGGTCCATGCGTCTTTTGTTGTAGTAGTTTGTCAAGGACTCCAGCAGCATGGAAGAGCATCACACCAAGTCCACGTGTGCACCGATTCGGTGGAACGGGCCGAAGTGTGCACGCCCGTGCACCCTGCTTTGTGTCCATAAACACCAGGCCATTTTAAGATTTAAAGGATTTCATGGACTTAATGATTCATGGACTTATGCTTCTTAAGGATGTGACACAACTTCAAAGCTTGATGCTACCTTGCAGGCATAAACTGGTTTAAGAGCTTCTCACACCTTAAGATGCTTTAAGTGCTTAAAACCTACAAAACCACTTAACTGGGACTTTCATGGCCAGCTGCTGTGCAGGCCTTCAGCCCACACCTGATTGTTATCATATAATAGAGATAATTAACTCAAAAATGTATTGCTACTAAATATAAGGCCTGGTAAATAAGGTTCTGGAGACGATGCCTGTGGCATGTATCCTTTGTAGTATTTTTCACCCCCTCACTCCCTGCCTCTTAAGTGTGTTGTAATGCACCTGACGGTAATGCAGACGGGCAGTGTTAATGGTGCTGTTGCATCTCACGCGCGGCGCTCCCTGCCTCACCGCGAATCCTGAGTCACCAAACAGGAAAAAGCTCTCTCCTTTTCTCCATCCCTTCTTCATTCCCCCTCTTCTGATTGCTTTGGAAGTGGCTCCAGGTCACAAGACAGCAGGTTCGGGATATCTCCGTTCCTAGTTTCCATTAGGGTACATGACACTTTCTGCTCATGAAAGAACTGGGTCATTGTCTTCTATGTGTCAGGTATCCAGGTGAAGGGTGTTTGCGCCCGAAAGCTTGCAATTAAAGACCTTTTTTTTTTTGCAAAAATCTTGTTGGTCTAATAAAAGATATCCTCTCTACTATGAGTCCTGATTGCCTGGGTCACTGACGGCATTTATAACATGTCTGTCACTGCAGCACCGGCGAAGGCCAGGGCTCTTGCAGTCCTATTGAAGGATGACACTGAGATGCATGTCTCTCTCATTGCAGATGCCATTACAGTAATCTGGCTTTCTCACTGATGGCCCACGTGTTGGCTGATCATGCTGCTGCGGGGGAATACCAGCGCTGGGTTTCGGAGAATATCTTGGATCGCTTGGGCATGGAGGACACTGGCTTTGACATCACACCGCCCATCCGTTCCCAAATGGCAGTGGGCTTCTACAGCAGCGGGCAGCCAGCTCCCCTGTACGACCTGGGCTGGTACCGGCCCTCCGGCCAGATGTACTCCACAGCCGCTGACCTGGCCAAGCTGGCGATGGTTTTCCTAGGCACCTACCACCGACGCCTCTTAGAGCCTGATACTGTGAAGACGATGCTGACACCTCTCTTTAAATGCTCGAGGGAATACTTCGCCAACAAGACCGGCACCCCCTGGGAGATCAATGAGCAGCTGGGCTATGATGTCATCCGAAAAGACGGTGACCTGGACGGCTATTCGGCGACCTTTTCCCTCATCCCCAAGCTCCGCTTAAGCTTCATCGTTCTGATGGCGGGGCCCAGGCCCCAGGGGGGGGATATCGTGACGCAGACGTACGAGACCCTTATCCCCGCCATGGAGACGGCCTTCCGGGAAGCAGAGAAGAGCCTGAACGCTCCCCCAAGCCCCGCTCCCTACGTGGGCTACTACACGTACTCCAACTTGACCTTTTACGAGATCAAAGCTGGATCTCACGGGGTGCTGGTCATGCAGCAGTTTGGGCCCCACATAGAAGAACTGATCCCTGAAAACTACCGGACCATCAAGCTTCACCACCTGGAGGACCGGGTCTTCCAGGTGGTCTTTGACAAGGAGTTCCCATGCGTCCTGCGCCTGGGCTCTGCCTCTGTCTCTCTAGAGACCCAGGATGGGCAGCTATTTAATTTCTACCCTTTCGACCGCAAGGGTTTGTCTCCTGGCTTTGATGCTCCCGGGCTAAACACGTACAACGTGGTGCGCATACACCGCAAGCCTGTCTTCTACAGCTAACTGATGGGGGCTTCGGGTCAGTGTCTCCCCCACTCTCTTGTCCTCATGGCTTTGGAGAGGCCGCATTAAAGGGGAAGATGATAGCCACTAACCGTTTCATACAACACTTTTTCTTTCCTGGACTGACTCCAGTGGCTCGTCTCCCCCGGTCCCGCGAGTCCAGCTGGGTGTTGGGGACGCACGCAAAAACGACGTTCTGGCCCGTGCTGGGCGGATGCTATATGGACGCCAGTGAAGACCCTCCACCGCAGCAGAGCGGCTTTGACCACCATCAGGGTGCTCGAGACTGGCCTCAGCGCATCTCTGAGAACCTCTCTTCTGGTGTCCGGCATTTTCGATGCACCACCTTGCATCAGACCCGCACCGTGGTCTTGGACAAGTCACTTCCTTTCCCTCTATTTTAGCTATCTCATTGTAAAAGGAGGCTTATAGGCCCTCTCTCATGAGATGCTGAGCTAATGACTCATTAGCTAATGCCTACGTGGAAACATTAGTCACAAAACCAGTATTCAGCACTGCTATGAGCTGGAGCCCATAGGCCTTCCTACCCCGAGTACCTCGCTCCCTGTTATCAAATGATCATTCACGTCGTTAGCAGCGTAGGGTCAGGGCTACCGCAGTTAAATACGGATCCGGTCGTAAGCTGGTGTAAACCAGCATTGCTCTGCTGGAGTCGATGGATGAGCTTTCCAGACGGTATCAGCAGTGTTGTTTCATTGGAAGAACAGACGTGGTCCCCAGCTGGCAAACATCAGCATCGCTCCATTGCGGCGAATGGCAGAGATCTTCAGCCGCTTAGAAATCAGAGCAGCTCCAGTGGAGTCGATAGGGGTAGACGAGTGCCGTTCCTATATGGCTCTACCAGGGAAAAGCAGTTGAAAATATGGCCAAAAGTACGTGTGTGTCAGAGTTAGTGGAGATATTGTCCATCAAGCATGATGCTTGGTGCAGGAGAGAAAGTCAAGCCAGAGAACACGGCGCTTTCTCTCGGCGTTGTTAAGGAAGGGTTTTTTCCCCACAAATAGAGATTTTCAGTTTGTCTCTTGCTTTTTCCCACCTTCTTTTTTTTTTTTCTTCTTTAAGCTATTTGCATGATATTGTGAAATGTCATTAGAGGCTTTGACTGGAGTGGGATATGACAAGGCTTAAGGCAGAATATTCATTTCTATGAGATTAGCTGTGTCCCAAAGAGCTTCTAATAAGTGTCTTTGCCGGTTAAGATGTGAAACAATTTTGCTAACAATTGACTTGGGGTTTGATTGGATTTTATTTTGTTTTGAGGAGGCGACCTGCATTTTGAGCTATCTGGAAACTGCGTTTTCCCCAGAACTCCTAAGTTACAAAATTAGCAGGCAAGGCTCCGGGGTCAAAACTAATAGAATAGATTTGCTACAGTTCCCCTGTCCCTAGGGACGTCGCCAAAGTCATTTTTGCATTTCAGGAAATGCAGTTAACGGAGCAGTAATAAACACACACACCACCTGGGTGCACTACTGCTTCCAGGAACTCTGATATGGTAGAGGACACCCTGAACACATCCACACGTGCACTTTAATGTGCAGTGCATTAAAGCATCACTAAAAATATGCTCTTTAGTTAATGCACATTAAAATAGGCTAATGCACATTAAGTGTCACTTAAAAACCAGGGGCACCTATACCTATGACAGCGCTCTGCTCTGATGTGTGCTAATTAGCATACTTTGGAGCGAGTCTGCTCGAGCATGCTATTTAGTGCTCCAGCAACCTCCACATTACGTGTATTCAGTGTCCCCATGTTTCAAAATGGTGGTGAGGGTGCTTTAACTAAAGCTTGTTGAATGAATACATGTGGCGCTGCAGGCTCTTTAATTAAAGCAGCTCTCAGAGCCACTCTAATTAAAACACCTCCCTTCCCCCCTAGAGTGCACATATATAGACCCCCCCCCCCATGCTCTTTAGTTAACGCACATTAAGATAGGCTAATGTGCATTTTCTTAGGACCTCACATTGTACCAGATTTAACGCGCACTAACTAAAGCACATTAATGCACGTGTAGATGTGCCTGAAGTGCACATTTGCATCTCTGTGAAATAAAGGGAATTCAGCTAGATTAAAAAAGTGGTTAAATATCAAAGAACCTGATTGAGCCATTTGTGCCCAAGATTAAAAGCAATGCAGAGGCACCTCCCCACAGAGGGAGATAGTGTTCGTGTTAGTGGGAAAGGCACCCGGAGCCTGCCCGGGCTGCAGCAGAGATGGCTGCGCTAGCATGGGGTGCTATAGAAGAAAGCAAGCGTCGAGGAACCAGCTCTAGCGCGTGCCACCTCGACAGACTAGGGGCCCTTTTGACAGGTGAAGCAGCGGTAAAACCCTTGCTGGGACAAAGCTCCGTTTTGATTTCCTTTCTTGGATAAAAAACAGAAAAAGAGTTTGCATTTTAAAGCATTTTCTTTAAAACAAACCCAGTTTGTTGGTGACGTGCCACGATTTAGGACATGCAAAGAAGGTAGCCTGAGCCATTCAGAGGAAAAGGATGTGTTTGATTTATTTTAGTTGTTTAAACCTTTTATTTTTTGTTGCTACTTGTGTTTTGTTGTGTGCGCGGTGTGTTTTGTGGGATTTTTGTCAACCTCTGCTTAACTCCAACCCCTGAGAAATATTTGGGGTGGAATAAGATGTTTGTGAGAGTCAACGCCGTCGTCCCTTCGGTTGGAAGCGGAGAGATCCCAGGCAAAGCGAAGGCTCCTCTCTAGCAGGATAGGACGACAACTTCATGAATACGGTCACAGAGCTGATCCCCTCGCAGAGATGCGGGACTGCTCCTTCCTAAACCAGTCCAGGTAGACGTCTCTACAACCTCGTCTTGAAAGCCTCCAGTGAAGGAGCTTCCCTAACTTCCCAGCCAGCCTGTGCCATTGTCCTACTGTGCTTATAATAAAGACGTTTTCCTGAGATTTGCAAAAGATGGGGGATATCTATTTCCTGAGACTTAATTCAAGTCTTCTTTGCTGGGGTTTAAACCCACTACATCTTTTTTTCTGCCCCCTCTGGCATGAGAGGATTATTTTTCTCACTGCTCTTTACAGCAGTCTTTGAAATATTTGAAAACTGCTACCATGTGCCCTACACGCCCCCCACCCCCCGTCTCATTTCCCCCAGAACTAAGCAAACTTACTCATTCAACCTCTCCTTAGACAGCTTGCATTTCAACTCCTGTAGAAAAGGTTTTGTCACATGCCTCTAAATCCCCCCAGGTTCTCCACGTCCTCCTTAAAAGATGGTTCCTAGAGCTGGACACAATGCTCCAGCTGACCTTAACCAGCACCAAGCAGTGTTACCATCACACAATCACAGACAATGAGGGTTGAAGGGAGCTCAGGAGTCGCATCTAGTGCAACCCCTGCTCCAAGCAGGACCAGCCCCAACTACATCATCCCAACCAAGGCTTTGGTCTTAAAAACCTGCAAGGGTGGAGATCCAACCACCTCTCTGGATAACCTGTTTCAGTGTTTCACCACTCTCTTACTGATCATTTTTTTCCTAATATCCAACCTAAACCTCCCTTGCTGCAACTTAAGATCATCACTCCTTGTTCTGTCAACTTGTCTTGCTAACGATGCCCCTGTTTATAGAGCACCAACATGCAAATGCTTCTTTTTGTGCCAGGATCACACCAGTTATCTCATGATCCACCATAACTCCCAGACCATCTCTAGCAACCCCGCCAGTTATCCCCCCCCGGTCTGCATTTGATGGTACACTTGCCCTTGCCGAGTGTCATTGTGTTGCCTATAGCCCATCAAGATCAAGATTTTAACCCTGTCCTCCACATTATTTGCACCCCCTACTTTTGTATTAAGTGGAAATATTTATCAGTAAACTCTCTACTCCTGAATCCAAATCATGAATAAAATAATTCAATGGCTTAACTTGAATGAACACTGAACTGAGACCAGTGCATTCCTACTTGAAACCACCTTGCAATATGAGAAAACCTGAGAAAAGAATCTGCATTTCAATGCAAGATAGTTCAGTTTGTGTGGCACACCATATAAATACATGTTGTGAGGTCTGCCTATAATGTTTTTTATGACTATTAAGCATCCATCTGTTCGGTTGCCCCTGTGCTGCTTGCTAAAGGAGCACCAGTGATTAATTCAGCCAGGATTGATAGGGCAGACTGTGCTGGTAGGGTATGCTTATGTCCAAGTCCACATAGGGTCAAATAGGGTAGATACCTTCACTGATAAGAAAGGTACCTATAGGATCTCTGAGGTCAAATAGAAGTTATTTACTGTGCCACCTTCAGTGCCACAGGACTGGAGGGCAGCCAAAGTAATTCCAGTCTGAGAAGGGCTCTAGAGAGGAGCCAGGGAAATATAGGCCAGTGCATCTAATTTCTGTTCCCAACAAATTGGTGGAACGAGGTCATTAGTGGCATTAGTAAGAAGGCAGGATAACATTGCACTTTACCAGCTAACTACACCAGAGATGCATAGCAAAGATCCTGTCTGTAGGAAGTAGAGCTGCTAACGAGAAAGAAAGGGGTGATTAGATGGGGAGGGGAGGGGAAAGTATTGCTGTTGCAGGCTGTGAAGCTTGTGGGCAGCAAGAGCCTGCTGCAAGGGTCTGGGCTTGTATACTCAGCCCAATCCACCCTGCAGCCCGCGCCCCCTCGGAAACCAGGTGGCCCTGATGAGGGGCTCCAAGGAGGCAATTAGATCCCAATATAAGGACTTGCAACAGGGAGGCCTGGCTCCTTTAGAAGTGGGGGAATGTCCTGCTGGGAGCTTCACACCCCAGAGGAGGGAGCAGAAGGAGGCTTAGCTGTAGCTTGCAAGGAGAAGCTAGGCTGCTGTGTGTGGGGAAAGCCAGGGGGGACAGTTGCTGTTCCTGTGTCTAGAGAGGATGGGGTATTTTTGATTTCTTTGGCTTGTGCTGGTAGGGTTGAAGCTTGTCTGGTGGGAGCTGAGCTTCCAGAGGAGCTCATTGCAGGTGCCCCGCAAACGGCCGCAGAATAAAGGACTGGCCTAGGACTTGGGTCTGTCAAGACTTGGTGTGGGGAAGTTTCCCATCAACAACAAGCTGGAAACCAGGATGGATGCTGCATTAGTCCAAAAGGAAAATGAAGCCTCCTGAGAGCTTGCAGGGGCTTGCTAAAGGAGCCACAGAAAAAGGAAGAATAGGAAAGCGAGTGGTTAAAAACTCACTCCAGAGTGATGCAGTAATGTCTCCTCTGCATGGCTGTTAATTGACCTGGGCAGTCACTGGGAGTGTGTGGCTAGGAGGGGAGATGTGGTGAGAAAAGCTATAATGCAGAGAGATGCTCCCTCCTTTGGCAGAGGGAAGGAGCTGAGAATTGGGAGACGGCCCCTGGTTACAGGGGAGCTGG